TTCTCTTGTTTTCGTCACTAGTTCTTTCTCTAATCCCTTCAACCATTCTATCAAAAGACTCACCATCATCGTATTCTTCAAAATCGAAGCATTCATCATTATCACTTGAGCTGCAGCCTGCCATGCTTCTTCTTCTTCGATTTTCTTATGTGTAAATATTCGAAGAAAAGAATGTAGACAAAGGGTCTAAAAATAGACAACAAAGTATATATAATGCACAAGTTATTATTAATAAAAATACTATAACAACTAAGTAGGGTTTGATTGCTTCTCCGGCCAAAAAAAAAAAACCGTTGGAACATAAAGGACATGTATCTATGTTTTTTTAATAAGAAATAAAAATTCATTCTAATTAAAAAAATAAATTCACATAAAATAATGTCTCTCGAAATAAGATATTAAATTGCATAAAATAAAATAAAAAAGGGAGAAAAATACATTGCATTGGTTCAACTGTTAAAAAGAATAACATTCAAGATATAACATCTTGAAAGAAGTATTAATTAATCCCAATGTATTTTGTGAGAAAACCCAAAATATCGACATGGTAAAAGAAAAATAATTTAAAAACAACTATTTATGATAAATTTTTATACAATTTGACGTGTCCATTGAAAAGTGATAAAATATAGATTACGAATGATAAATGATTGGTCTCTCACGTAAAAAGAGTATTATTATATGTTTTTATGCGATTTTTGTGCCAATTTTTTTTTTATAGAATTAATTACTCGAGTTACTTTAAATATTTAAGTAATTTATTTAATTGACCGTTATGTGAAGTCAATAAGATATATATCCGTTAAATTTTTGAACCAAATAATTTGAGAGAGGAATTTCAAACTCTCAAATGGATCTGACCTCGTTAAATTATATTAATCACTGAGTCATTAATTATATAAATTATTTAAAAGTATTACGAGAAAGGGGATGGAGTTTGGTTCAAATTAAGTCGATTGCTTGAGCTTTTCGTACCTTTTCTTTGAGTTTAAACTAAAATCTATCGAATCGATTGATGAAGTCACGGATTCAATCCATATAAAATTATTATTTTTTTGGTCAAAGTCGTTTAGTTCTAATCAAATTTGCTATTTATAAAATTATTATTTGATTAAAAGAAATAACATTTAATTAGTTTTGAAACAAAAAAAGACAAAATTAGGAAGTATATATTATAAATTCATTATGAAACATTATGAAACTGTCTTAAATTCAATTTGAAATTTTCAAAAAAGTTAAAGTGAAACAACATGATTTAAACTTGTTGCGTTCTGAATCATAACATTTAATAAATATAGCTATTTTCTAGCATAATAACTGTTATATTGCATTCCAGAATACCAATAATTTAAAATATTATATTTTTAAAGAATGACATGTGATAAAATTTAACCTCTTATTCACCTTCAAGAGCATAAACACACATCAAACTCGAACCCATCTTTTCCTATAATAATAATATAACACATATGATATTATTTTATTGGAGCGAGCTAGATATAGATAGATAATAGTCTATGTATTTTTTGAATAATTTTTTTAATGTGTCTCATAACTTCTACACATCATTTGTCATTTAATATTTATAATACCTACATTGTGAACTTTGTATCAGGATAATAAATTGATAATTACTTTAATTATTAGTATTACAAACTTTAAAAAAACATTAACTCTTAATAATATTGTAGCAAATAACAATATCACTCAATCAGGACTAAACAACAATTGTATTATTAATGAAGTTATATTATTTAGTAGATGATATAAATGTAAATAAATTGACATATTATGTTGATATATTTTGAAATTTTAATTAGTAAAATATTGCACTGGTTTAATTGTTTCATATTTTTTATGCATGCATGTTTATTTATTTATATTTATTTCATGAAAATATTATCTTATATAATAATTCATAAATATGAAAACTGATAACTAAAGTTTGTGTTTTGAGTACTCAACATTAGGTGTCTGTAGTGTAGGTTTGTAAACCCACCATGCCCTTTCAAAAATTGCACTAATTGTTTTCTTTTAAATCATTATTTCAATGTTAAATGTATTCCAGTAAAAAAACAACCGTACCTCTTTGTAGTCTTTGCAATTTTTTACAGCAAGGATAACTTTGTTATTATATTATACCAATTCATAATATTTTATGTCAAGGTAAACAATAACAGAGGCACCCACTATACCTTATCAAAATTTACATTGATGGCACCGAGGGACTTGGCCTAGCGGTGGCAGGAGCCAAGCTCCTTCCATCGCACATGGGTTCGAGTCTTGGTGTGCACGTCTGTCACCCCCGCGGTGCCTTACATGCCTACTGGGTTTGCAGGGTGTTCAGTGGGCCGTGGGGATTAGTCGTGGTGCGCGCAAGCTGGCCCGGACACCCCACGTAAATCAAAAAAAAAAAAAAAAAAATTTACATTGATGTCTTTTTTTAAAATCATCCATTCAATGTTAAATGTATTCCAATGAGAAGACGACTCCACCCCTGTAATCTTTGTGCCTCTATGCGGTAAAGGGAGCTTTGTCATTACATTGTTTTAATATACAATATCATGTATCTAGGTAAACATTAACACTTTTAGTATAGTATATAGTAATCTCAAGTCAAGTTTTTTTTTTAAAAAAATTAGAATTGACTTAATTTGATTTATAAAAGCACTAAAATATTGTGCAGCAAAAATTAAAAATTTATTTTTTAATATTTTTATAACATTTTAATATAACGATATCAAAAATAAATTTTAAAAAATAAAAAAATATATTATTTTGATATATTTTTTAAATAAAAAATATTTAAAAAAAAAACTAGTTCAATATCAACCACATACATGGTTAAAATCCTTTTTTCTATATGTATAAAAGAAGTCTTCAAAGTAATGTTCTTATGAGTTATTCTAGGTTTGCTTACCTAACCCAACCCATAAATTGATAAACCGAATTTTGAGTTGTGCCGGATTTAATTACTTTGCTTCACATTCATGTTATACTTATACGAGGCCAAATCTAACGACTACCATTAGAAGTTGATACGGTTTCTTTTTTCACAAGGGTTGCAAATCACTATTTTAAAGCAAACTAAAAACTTCTGAAATAATTAAATAAAACTAAAAATTAAGTCTGTCTCATCTACCTTCACACACACACACATATCTGTGTGTGTATTTTTTTTTGTGATGTTATAATGTCTAACAGCTTCTTTTTTTTCTTTTCTCATCCACCTAATTCTGAAATATATAAAATATTTAAATTTTAATAATTAATATTGATTCCCTTCAAGTATGGCATTATCTCTTAAACAGCAACTAGCAATTAAAAAAACCACAGGCTCCGAGCCTGGTTACTACGGCCATCCATCGATCCCAGATTCATCCCCGCAGAGAAAAAAATTATGATGATTATGAATAAAAAAGAAAAAAGAGATTGATTTGATGTTTTAAGATATTTATTTATTTCTTATATTTTGAGATTGTCATAGTTGAAATTTATTGATTTTTTTTAAATATGTTTGATATTGTTAAAAAATTATTATTAATATTTAAATTGATTTAAGAGTATCCCTAATTATTGTTGGAAAAGAAAAGAAAATTACCAATTGACAGCTTCTTATTAATTATCAAGAAGATGTATCTTCTTAGTTTTATTTAATTATTATTATTTATAATATCTATATTATTTAATTTTGATAGGTGAGTTAAATCAAACAATACAAATATTACAGTGTTTTTTTCACTTCCTGGTATAAGTTGAACCCAAGACATCTTTTACCAAGGATTAGCAGGCGCATGCAAGGGTTTTAACTTTTAACCGTGTTTGATGTGAAATGTATGAAGAAGATTCCCACATCGAGAAAACATAAGATGTGGGCAAGGCATGGGGATATAAATAGGAAGCTCAAAACAACGAGAGACATACTTACCTGGACGGGGTCAATGGGCGATCAGGAAGGTCCATGGCCTAGGTCAGTGACGTCCATTGCACTGAGGATGGGTGCTGGCTTAAGGTCTCCCCAAGAGGGAGAGCCTACGTCATAATTTGTGGTAGAGGGGGCTGCGCAAGTCGCGGCCCCTGTCCGAATCTAACACCAAACATTTAGCTACGAATCTTTCAAATCTGAAACGTCGTCGGTATTGTGCTTGCAGCTGGAGATGTTTACTGAGGCTCAAAGCATGTAGAGTCGATGGTGCGTTGATCATAGAAGCATATATAATATGTGTGTTTTTTGGGATGTGATGATGCTTAACGGCTTCTTTCTCTCTTTGTTTTTGGCAGACTAGTATTTAAATTTTAATAATTAATATTGATTACCTTAAAGTATGGCAATATCTCTTAAATAGCAACTGGGAGCCTGGTTACTATGGGCATCCATCGATCCCAGATTCGTCTCCGCAGATAAAGAATTATAATAATTATGAATAAAAGAAGAAATTGATTTGATGTTTAAAGATATTTATTTATTTATTATATTTTGGGATTTTCATGGTTGAAATTTATAACAATTAAAAACACCACGGGCTTCGAGCCTAGGAGGAAAATGAATTTTAAAATAAAATATATTAAATTCAATGAAAATAAGAAAACTCAAGATCCAAATTGCATATTGGCTGATTTACCTAATTAACTCATTCTTTTTTTATACATAAAATTTATTTCACCAACCCACAACACGTTCTAATTTTTAGCGCTCTGCTTGAAATTATTCTGCTGCTTGAAAAGCATTCTGATGGCGATTCCATGTTTATATTTTTGCAATATATATTCATTGCATCCAATTGAACGAAACAATTGCATAGTTTTTAATAACACAATATACTGTCAACGGGACTTTGTTTGATCTCACAACACTATGATTGAAGTTTCTTGATCCATCCCACAAGCCCTTTGTTAATACAGATACACAGAGCAGAAAAGCCTCCGCATCAGGCTCATATAAGCCATGCTCTCCACCTCAAGGCACAAAAACCATGCTCTCCACCTCAAGGCACAAAAACCATGTTCTCCGCCTCCTCCTTCACGGATTCGAAAAGCACGGAGGATAGGTAACGCTCCCCAAAGCTAGGGAAGATCACCTGTTTACATTAAAAAGATTTGTAAGAGACTCAGTTCAGAAAGACGAGCTTCAAGATTTTAGTTTGGTCAGGTTTACATTAGAAAGAATGGTAAGACGCTCAGAACAAAACACCAACAAAGGCCAAGCACTAGAAGCTATTCAAAAAGATACGGCATGTGCTAAACGCAACGCTGCTAAGCTTGCCATAGAATATGGTACATGTCATCACTATTACCGTGCTTGAAGATTTTCTATCACCTATAATCGTTCAGGAAAATTCATTATTTGAATGGATAATTTCATCAACAAAAATATCAAGGGAAATGGTAGCTAGATTGGCAATGAACTTTACTATTTGGAAACAAATTTGTTTCGTCTACGGGATAGCTTTGGACAGCAGGCTCACTAGCAAGTTGCTGATGGATCTACTTCAAACGGAAGAAAATCAAACTTACAACAATGAGCTTTCCAGCATTTTCAGGCCTCTTTGCTATCTCAATGGCAGCAGCTCCAGATGATATCCCCACCTGAAATCCACATGATGCCCTCAAAAGAATTCTTGATTAAAGTCAAACCCAGAAAATATGATCCAGTTAACAGAGTGGAGTGCTGTACAGTTCTGCGTTCCTTCTTGCAACAAATATCAAATAATTGTAAGCTTACCAGCAATCCTTCTTTCAAGGCAAGAAGCTTTGCAGTTTCAATGGCTTCTTCACTTGATATCTGCAAAGTCATATAACGATCGAGTCTCTCAGGTACGAGTGCAGCAAGGCAATAAAAAGGAAGAAACAAAAAACAAACGGTATTTTCTCTTAAAAGAATAAATCAGAGCATGCGACAAAGATTAGACTTGAGGATCCTGGATTTGTATATGATGGAGTTTTAGCAATACGTTTTGGGAATTATGTAAGAGAACACAGACTTACTTGAACAGTTTCGTCAAGTAAACCGACATCCAAAACTCCAGGGATGAAGCCAGCGCCAATTCCCTGGATCTTATGGGGACCAGGTTTCCCTCCAGATAGCACTGCACTTTCAACTGGTTCTACACCATAAATCTAAACACGAAAAGGAAAGAACAAACGCCAAGAAAAGAAACAATAAAGAAACTATCAATACCAAAAAAAAAAATGACTTCCACTCCAAATCAAGCAATGCGGAGAAGTGAACCTTTATATCAGGGTTTTGTTCCTTGAGATACTTCCCTGCACCTGTTATTGTTCCCCCAGTCCCTATCCCAGAAACAAAGGCATCAACTTTCCCACCTGACCCTTTCCAAATCTCTGGTCCAGTTGTCTCGTAGTGAATCTGACGAGGGAACATCAGTATGATTGTAATTCTCTCAAATCAGAAAGTCAGAAAACGTGCAAAATGAAAACAAATGGCACCTGTGGGTTGGCAGGATTTTCAAATTGTTGCAGAAGATAAGCATTAGGTGTCTTTGCCAATATCTCTTCAGCCTTCTGAACAGCCCCCTTCATGCCCCTGGCAGGATCAGTAAGGATCAACTCAGCTCCAAAAGCAAGGAGAACCATTCTTCTCTCTAGACTCATTGAAGCAGGCATGGTAATGATCAGCCTGTAGCCCTTAGCAGCTGCCATGAATGCCAGCCCTATGCCAGTGTTGCCACTCGTAGGCTCAATCAGGACACTCTTCAGCATTAACAAAGAAAACCATGTCAACACGCAAGTTCCTTTGTAATGACATTCACGCTATTTTGTATGCAATGAACAGAAAACGGATCAGTTGACTGTCAATGTGTGGACTAGGTCATTACAAGGCTTGGCAACTAATAATTAAATATCAATTATTGTATCATATCTGCCAGCGGAAAATGATTTTCTGATGCAATGATGTCTTAAGCCAAGACATGTATTGATCAATTTTCAATAGCTATAGATAACATATCACTCAATTTCAAAGCAAAACAACCTAAATTGGACTTAAAATTCATGTATCCTATCTGATCAATTAGGATTGAATCACCAACCTCACCCGGCTTGATTAGACCCTTCTCCTCTGCATCTGTGATCATACTATACCCAATCCTACAAACAAGGGAAAAAAGACAAGAAGAATATCATAATATATCAAGCTAAGCAAACCAAAATCTCATTAATGACGATGTTCTAAAGGCCCCATTGTTACTTTTTGAGCAAATCCAATTCCATCATTGGATTCAGAAACACATTTGAATTACCCATAAACAGAAACATATTAAATTTCGACAGCGAAGGAAGATTTTCGGCCTTGGCAACCAAATAAACCTGATCATAGCCAAGTTAATAAATAAAGCATATCTCAACTTTCCAACAAACAACAACAGAAATCTAACTAATACCTATCTTTGACACTTGAGCAAGGTTCCATCATCTCCAGCTTTGCAGCAATACGGGCCACACAACCATCCACAACATTGTTGAGATACACCAATGGTGTTTTACCAATAAGCTATATTAGACCACGTACAAAAGAATATATAAGCCAGGGCTCCCATATCAAAACACCTCAGGAACAAATTCAACAATTTTTGAAATGGCAATGGAGTCAACTTACTTCAGTAACGTCTTTGGAAATTGAACCCTTCTCCTCTGCCATTTTTTGTTCCGGTTACTGCACAAGCATAGAACACATGGAGTGATCAACAAAAAAAAAAAAAAAGCTAAAAAGGACAAACCTGTACAGAAAAAATAGCAGATACAGCAACCATTTGAACAATTCACCAGAACACAATTTAGTTTATAAGGAAGTGATTCAGGAACTCCAAGTTTCATTTGGGACACTGTGCACCCACAAAAACAAATATTCTAAACCAAAAAAATATATAGCATCAACCCAGAAAAAAAGGCTTCTCTCCTCATAGCTCCTTGTTTCAGAGTACAGCTTAAATGGAAGTTGACCGAAATTTATTTTTTTATATAAACTTAATTATTTTTTTATATTTTTGAATTATTTTAATATACTATTATCAAAAATAAATCTTAACAATTAAAAAAAATTAATATATTTTTAAACAAAAAATATTTTGAAAAACCACTGTAACACTCACATACACTCCGCGAACCCTTCACCAAAATCCATGAACTGATGAACAACTAAACCTTCTAAAATCCAGCATCAACACATATAATATCAAAGAGTAAAAAATGAGAAAAGCTATACAATCAAACCTTGAGATTCTTGAACTTTAAAAAATGTAAGTTTCCAGGCCACAATCTTTCTTACAAGAAAAAACAGAGAAACGAAAGAAAGTTAGATATACCATGGACTTAAGAGAACTTACCAAGAAATCTTTATCAATCTATATATAGAGAGAACAAGGAAGGTAGGGAGCTTCTTGCAATGAAAGAGCAATAGCAGGTGTGTGATATATAGTGATCCTTTAGCATATTTTTTATATAAATTTATTTTAATTTAATTTTTGTAAGCGGAGTTGTCAAAGGTTTAACTTCTAGTGTGGTTGTAAGAGTCAAGCTTTTGCTTGACCTCGGCTGTCTTGTCTTTGTTTGTAACAGGCAATTCCACTCGTCTTTGTTTTTGCCTTTTCCTTGTCTTTTTTGACGTAATTATGGATTATCTTAAATAAAAATTATAAACTAAATCTATTTAAGAGAAAGTTTGATCCGAACGGCCTACCTTTTTTCCTTTTTTATACATATTATAAATATATTGTGCCTAGAATGAAAAAATCAATTTAGTTATAACAACCAATGAGTTGTATAGGATACAGAAATTGAGCTAGGTTGACAAAGTTTTAACAATTTCGACCTGCCACTTAATTCATAATATTTTATCTTAATTTTTATATATTTATTATCATCTATAATATTTATATTATTTAACTTTTACAGGCTAGACGATTTTTTTTTTAACTTCCCTGGTATAAGTGGATGCGAAGACATCTTTTCCTTACCGGAGAAAAGAAAACGCGAAACAATGGTAATTTATTGTTGATGATCAAGACGTATCTGCTGTGGTTGTCAGGAATTCTCTGTAGAGTATTATAATATCATCACTGTCAGGAATCCATGTCACGAAGTCATGGACAGCTATTATTATATGCATGCTCTGTAAATTAACTCTATCAGAATTAATCGTTAACGAGTTCTAAAATTAACAACAATATAAATTTTCAACAATCTTAAGATTTATAGGGTTTGAACCAATAATTACTAGAAACCAAACTTAAATATAACCACTTCTCAGGATTTAATTGAAGGTTTGAAGCTATTAGAGAGAGAGAGAGTTTTAGAAATGCAGGAACTCCTTACTAATAATATCAGAGGTCTAAACTTCATGATTTTACATGTATATAATAATGATGTGATAATCTCTAACAGCTCGTGTTTTTGCAGACCTTGCATTTAAAATTTAATGTTTAATATTGATTCCCTCCAAGTAGAAGTATATAAAATGGGCATTATCTCTTTTATAGCAACTAGCAAGTAAGAATACTGCGGGCTCTGTTACTATGGGCATCCACTGATCCCAGACTCTACTCCTCAGAAAAAGAATTGTGATGATTATGAATAAGAAAGAAAGATTGATTCCACTTTTAAATTTTTATTATTTTTAAATTTGGAAGTGTCGTAGTTGACAGGAAGTGTCATGGTTGGAATTTATTATTATTTTCTCAAATATGTTCGGTATTTAAAAAAATTACAGTTAAATATAAATTTAAATGGGTTTAAAATAAATTTAAAAAAAAAACATAGAAGGGATTCATTATCCTTCTCTAATCTCTAGCTCCTTAATTTTTATTTTAATAAAAAAACACAATAATTGACGGATTCACTGAGCAGAAGTAACATAGATTATTCAGTAATAGAAGTTAAGACAATAATTTGAATCATTAAAAATCTGGTTAGCTCAACCAAGTTTGAAATTTTCATCACGAATGTTACATTAATAAACTCATTGGCAAGAGGGTTAATTAAATTCATCTTCGAGGTTTTTTAATGTCTATTTCTTCTTCTTATTTCATGTAGGCTCCAAGGTTTCTTTCATGGCATTTCATCAAGGACAGTAGAGAGTTGTTAAATTTTACTGATGCCCATTGTTAACGATACTGTAAAAGGTTTTCCATGTTTTATCATCAAAGAAATTAAGCCTGGCGTCTGTGGATATATCCATTTCATGTCAGAATAAATTATTTGTATATGGGATAGTTTCAGCTTATAAAGAATATCCTTGTATTTATTTATTTCTTGGTTTGGAGTAAGTTATTATAATTCATAGTAAATTGTATTCCAGTAAAATATTAAAAAAAATAAAAGGAATATTGAAGTTTAAAAAATTAGAGAACTCTAGAAATTAGATGTTGTATGGCTGAATCATAAGCACTTATCTATTTTGACTCTTTGACCAGATATGTATAAAGTCATGTCGATATTAAGCATCGTCTAAAATCACATCTTTATATCTAATTTTTTTTTAAAAAAAAAAAACCTTTAATATATTATTAAAAAGTTAAACCTTTCTAAATCTTTTTTTTTTATTTTTTTTATTTTCTTATCTAAAAGCATACTGGAATACCAGCTAATCTGATGTAAGAGTAGTAATTTGTTTTTTTTCCAAATTAGGATGTCTGGATATGATCTGGATATTGAAAAAATTATCACATACAACACAACATTTCATATGTGATTGTTTTACTGATAAGATCATAAATAAAAATGTCCAATAGAAAAATGCTTGTCGACAATTTCTGATATGTTGGTGAGTATGTTGTTAATAAATTTAGTAGTAACTTTATAGGCAGAACATGCATGCCAAAAATAAATTACTCATTTTATTTTGTCGATAATTTTATTTATACAATTGAGCATATTACCAACAAATGATCAATATGTAATTTTATCGATAAATTAACAATTACAGTGATATTTATATTAATTTTTTTATTAACAATTACAGTGATATTTATATTAATTTTTTTTTAACTCTCTGTAATATATTAACAGATTTATTATGAGATAACAAAAAAAATTGAGGTTTTAAAAAATAATTTATCTTCTTGAATCTCATTGTAATACTCTCTATATTGTCATCAATATATACCAACAGATGTATTTCATTGGTATATTCACGGACAAATTTTATTGTTGGATTAATTCTATTAGTAACGTTGTCTGTAAAATTTATATGTCATTAAATTATTTAGTTTTTTTTTTTCACTGTAATTTTTTTAATATACACTATAAGAATATTCTTGTTAATATTTACTAATAGATTTAGCAATGAAAATTTTAATTAGTAAATGTCATCAGTATATAATATACTGATAAATAAACTCTTACCAGTATTTTCATTTATATTTGCTAATTTTATAGTAGTGTGCAACTGATACATTTTAATTTAGACTCATTCAACATGATGCTTTCGTATTTATTCTATGTTGTAGGGTTTCTTTACAATAAAGGATTCCAAAGTATCACTTATGAAGAAGTCAAGAGTAATGCTACTAATGTTGATGAATTAAGGTTTAGAACTTCCGAGAAAACCCAAAGTACTACTGATCAAAAAGATGCAAAGAGTACTCATAGCAGTGTTGGTGAATTTTTAAACCCTCTTGACCTTCTTGTACCCAAGAAAAAGAGGGGAAAGGCTAGATCGAAATTTTTCAAGAAAAGCCACGAGGGTCTGAAATTAAAGAATGAAGGGTAAGAAGAAAAAAGGGCCGAAAGTAGAGAGAAAATCTTTAAACGCCAAAGGAAGGATGATGAAGATGATCAGGAGTACCTGGGAGCAGAGAAGGTACCCTCAAAGAAAAGAAAAAAATATGGTAAGGGTAGATTTCAGGAAGCTGGGTTTGGATCCTGCACTCAATTTCTCATCCCAGATTAAAGCTGGGATAGATCATCAAGAAGGGCAGGACACTGAAATCAAGTCGAGGATCATGAAACAAATATTCATAACTGATATGGACAGGCACCAGGAATGCTTCTTAATGCCTTTGAATCAAGTCAAGGACTGCGAAGAGTTTTTGAATGAAGAGGAGATGAAGGACTTGTGCCAAACCAAGAGCAGTGGTACATTAGTGAAACTTGTAAATGGGTCTTAAAGATGATAATGTTCATGAGAGTAAAATGAGGTTGAATGATATTGTCCAAGATTTACTCCTTTAGGCGTGATAAGAAACCTTGTCTTGTACTCATTAAAGTTAAGGATGCAGATGAAGTCGAGAAGCTCATGAATGAAGATCAATTAGCTAGCCATGAGTGAGCAGCATTGGCCAAGGAAATGGAGATGGTGTTATAGGATTTGTAGAGGCCATGCATGGTGTTGGAACAAGTGGGCAGGCCATGCATGGAAGGTGCTAGCATAAGCAAGCCATAGCATATTGATGTTATGGCATTTTGAAGCAATTCATGTGGTCAGTTAATTAAGGTTATTTTTTTATGTCTTTTATCATGACAATATATTCCAAATAGGATGAAATTAAACACCTGTTCTTCTGCATGTTCGTACGTTTGTTTAAGATTTTCAACCTTTCTATTTGATTTCAACCGCAGCCTTTTTCTCATGATGCTTAAAATTTGAGTTTATAATTTGGATTGCCTTCCATGATAGGTGATGAACCAGGATTTATCATTATTTTTAAATAGTTTTTTGCTAGTCCAAATCCATTTTTAACCATTGCCCAAGCTCTGGAGGCCCTGGAGAAGAGTTTGGGCTTAGGCTGTGTTCGTAGATCTAAAGGGTACTAAACGCACACCTGGTGTCTTTGGGTCCATGCCATGTGTCTGGGTCAGCGCAACGGAGCCTAATTTCTTGAGTACAAATTTCATGGACCCAAAGCTTTGCCCTGTGATTTTTCACTAGCAAAAGTTTTTAGCATGGATCTTATTTTTACATTTACTGTTTGTATTGTTAACATCTTAACTTAATAATTAAAATTATCTTAACTAAATAAAATTTTAAAATATATTTTATATAATTTTTTAATACATTTTTTAAAATAAAAGTTTAAAACTTATCACCACTACTTAATAACTTAACTATTAAGTGAAGCTATAAGATATAATTTATACAATTTTTTAATATATTCTTTTGAATGAAAATCTTTTAATCTTGAAATTTATTATTTTTATCTAATAGCTTAAACTGTTAAGTGATACTTTAATATATAATTTATATAATTTTTTAACACACTCTGTCAAGCGAGAATTTTTTGGACTTGAAACTTGCATATATTCATATTATTTTATGTTTAATTTTTATCAAATATAGTAGAAGTGGTGAGATTTGAACTCGTAACTACTAGGTAAATAAAGCTATGATACCATATCAAAAAATTATATCAACTCAATACCTTAAACTCTTAAATGAGATTCTAGTAAATAATTTATATACTTTTCTAATAAATATAAAGGATATTTAT